CGGTTAGTCGTGAATTGCATCGGGGCGTAACGGTCGCTTGTCACTAGCCGCCTCGGTGCTCGTGTGCCGTTTATTTGAACCGTCTTGTCTCGCTTGCAAGCCATCTTTAATACGTCGCTCGACCAACGCAGGCATTTCGGTCGCTCTCGAGACCTTCGTTATCTTGACAGGATAACATCAAGTATGGATGTTTCTGGATATGCCCTGATCACCGGGGGAGCGTCTGGGATCGGCAAAGCCTGCGCTAAAGCCTTTGCCCTCGAAGGTTGTGCAGGCATTGCCCTCCTGGATGTTGACACGGAAGCTCTGGGTGAAGCCAAAATGGAGGTTGAGGGTTGTTTGGAGCCAGGTGCCCGTCGCGAACAATGTCCTATCCTGATCCACAATGTCGACGTCTCCGATGAGACACAGGTTAACAAAATCGTTGAGGAGGTCGCTCAAACGTTTGGCCGAATAGATTATGTTGTGAATGCAGCCGGCATCGCGTTGAAACACGTCGGCGGTACCGCTTTTGCAAAAACTGTCGATTGGAGTCGTACTGTCAATATCAACCTTACCGGGACATTCTTTGTCCTCAGGGCAGCGGCAAATGTCATGCTGCGTCAACGACCTATCATGTCCGACATAGATGGAAGGCCGCTCCAGCGGGGGTCGATCATTAATTTTGCCTCCATCCAAGGTGTTGTCGGTATAGAATTGTCGGCAGCATACACGGCGACAAAGCATGCCGTCATCGGGCTTACGCGGACGGCATCGTTGGACTTCGCCGAAGAAGGGCTTCGAGTCAATGCCATCTGCCCAGGCTATACCGAGACGCCAATGACGACGAGAAGCCCAGAGGTGCTGAAGGCAATGGAAGAACGCGTTGGAACGGCCGTTCCAATGAGGCGAATGGGTGACCCCAAGGAAATAGCAGACGGTGTGCTGTACCTTGCGGGAGGCAGAAGCTCGTTTGTCACTGGATCGGCACTCATGGTGGACGGGGGCTACACGTCAAGGTGATGAGCGGCCTCTCTCTGGTGCATTTTTGCCACGGCAGTTCTTCTTTGGGCAGTGTAATGGCATTTGGATTTGAGTTACTTAAAAAACATCGACATGGGAAGTCTACAAATCTGTCCGACCCTACACCGATAGCCAATCCTGGGCAGGGCTACAAGCCTTTCGCTTAGCCGCTTTCTATAGGCCTTGTCCATGCGGCACCGGAGCACTAGCATACCCAGCCTCCATCCACGTTATACACTGCCCCAGTTACGAAGGATGCTTGGTTAGTAAGTAGAAATACGATGACATTCGCAACTTCGGTTGGCTCAGCTCGACGCTTTTGTATGGTTGCCTGTAAGCTGCGCTTAATGTCGTCTGGATCCTCATTACGAGACATCGGAGTATTGACAGAGCCTATCGCCGTAAGTTTACAAGCAATGACAAAGAGAGGCGCCTTGGTAAATGTCCTGTGGGAATGTCCCTGCAAATTGATGCGCCATACCTGGAGCTACGCAGTTGACCCGGATCTGAGGGTGTTCCTTCGCCGCTGTTCGCGAAAGTCCTATAACAGCCGCCTTGCTGGCACAATATGCCGCGTTCCCAGGCTGGCCAAATTGGCCAAATACGCTGGCTGCAGAGACCTATGAACACATCGAGTGTCATAATGTCAGCGTGGCTTTCTCATTGTACCCG